CTTACCGCAATTGTAGCATTTGGGAGCATCTTCTGCTGATGGCGTCTTCCTAGAAGATCCTTGATCATGGTTTTTCTACTTGTAGTTTGAGGAGGAGGTTCTCAGCTTGTTGGAGGAGCTGTTCTTCTTAGCAAATCTCTTGGCAAGCAGTGCCATCTTCTTCTGTAAGTCTGCTAGCTCAGCCTCTAGATCAGATTTGTCATCATCACTCTCATCATCATTTGATTCAACCACCACCTTCTTCTTTTTCTTCTTTAGTGATGTGGTTGTCCTTCTGGGCTGAGCCTCCATTACAAGAGCTAAGGGGTTTGTGGTGTGATGATCCTCGGTACAGGCAACCTCGTTGACAAATTGCTTAAGATGTTCATAGAGAGTGCAGAGGTCAATTTCATCCAAGTCGATCCGAGATCTAACATCCTTCACTGTCTTTTCCCATGCAGGATAGAGGCTGGATAGAAATCTAATATTCGGATCCAAGTTGGACCTGAATACTTTGATTTTCTTGAGTTCATTGACCAGTTGAACAAGTCTGTTGTAAGTCTCATTCAATGGTTCTCCTGGACCTGCTTTGAAGGAGTCATAAGCAATAAGGATCATAGTCTTCTTGGTTTTAAGGCTGATGCTTGTGCCTTGGAGTAGCTTTTCTATCTCATCCCACATTTCCTTAGCGGTTTGCATGCTATCGATGAGAATGTATACTTCATTGGGGATTGCTTGAAGAAGGTATGTTTTGGCCATGAGATCACCACGAAGCCTGAGCCTGTCAGCTTCCGTGTATTCAGATGCCACTTTCCTCCTTATTTCTGGAAGAATAGGAGGGTTATTTTCTGGATCACCACCAACTGAAATCAAGAGTTCAGCTGGTCCTTCAAGCAAGGATTCAAGCATCGCAGCGGAGTTCTCTTTGTGCTCAAGGAAATTAAGGAATCTGTTCCTCCACATTTGGTATTCTCCCTTCCTGAGACTAGGAGGGGTATTGCTGTTCCCTTGCGCATTGAATTCTGAGGCCATTGCTGTATTAAATTGACCGTTCGAGAAAATTGATCAAAAGATTTTCAGAGGCAGAAAGTCGAAAAATCAGATGTCGAGATCTGAATATCGAAATCTCAGATTTCGATAAAGGAGGCCCGGTATCGAGATTTGAGCTCGAGATTAGAGATCTCGAGATTAAGGATCTCGAGATTTCAAATTTCGAGAAGAGGATCTCGAGATTTGAAATGTCGAGAAGTTAAAACTCGAAATCTTAATTCTGAGAAGTCAAATGTCGAGACCAGATGTCGAAACCTTAACTCGAAATCAAGATCTCGAAATCCTAGATGTCGAAATCCTCAATGTCGAAATCCTGCAAACTGTAAAAATCAGATAAGCAAAATCTGAAGGTAGTTTCCTGTAGAGTAGAATGTCGAGATCCTCAGGTAAATTTTTCAGCTCGAAAAACGTAGCAGAACCTGTGAAAAACTAAAATGTCGACAAGCCCTACTCGAGATATCTCGAGTACAGAATATGCGTAAAACAAAATCTGAAGTATACCCCTTGATCGCTTTGAAAAGACGATTCTAAGGGTGTAACTTTTACAACTTTTGAACAAGAAACAAAATTACAGAGTGAAATATCGACAGTAAGAACAACGTAAAGAAAAACAGTCTTCTGCAGGCGTTCTTCTGATCGGCTCTCGATCGGCTCTGATACCAATTGATAGTCCCTGTTTCTGTAACAGCAATGAATAACGATCTAACAACGAAGATTAAACGTAAGGATGAACACAGATTGAATCAATGTAAAACCCTCTTTGATAGACCGTGAACTCGTACAACACAAAAATATGCGCGTAAGGCTATGAAAAATAAGTACGACGTTAACCTAATCCTAAACCCTCGACTCCCTTTTTATAGGCGAGGTTTAGGTTAGGCGTACAAGGCTTTTAGCCTGCTTATATGGGCCTAACACTTGGCCCAAGTTCTATCTAATTCATGCACTAATTAAATACAAGGATTAATAATAAAGTTAATCTATGACAAACTTGATTCACAATTAAAATATCTCCAACAAAGCTTATCCTCCCCAAGTTAATACAGTTGTTACTCGTCACTATGGCTGGCTACTTGATTCTGGAGCGACCAATCACGTTACTAATAACCTGAATAATCTTACCTTGGCATCCGATTATACTGTCACTGATTCTCTTATTATTGGTAACAGTAAAGGTCTTGCGATAACACAAGTCAGGCATATGACTCTTCACTCTCTTTCCCTACCTAATACTCTTTTTGTCCCTTCTGCTCATACCAATTTAATTTCTGTCGCCAAATTATGTCGTGATAATGACGTACTAATTGAGTTTCATTCTTCCTTTTGTCTTATTATGGACCGGCGAACGGGAGCAATTTTGTTACGGGGTATGAATAGAGGAGACGTCTACAGCTTGCCAGATGTGCCCCCTCCACCGTCTCCATCTGTTCACGTCACACACAAAATTTCCCTTAATAATTGGCATTGTCGCTTAGGACATCCCGCCCTCCCTATCACAAAAAAATTCTCTTGTCCTTAGGTGTTTCTTTTTCTAATGTTACTACAAATAATTCTTTATGTGTCTCGTGTGCTAGTAATAAAAGCCATAAGCTTCCATTTGCAAACTCATCTCTTACGAGCTCTGGACCTTTAGATTTAATATATACAGATGTTTGGGGTACTGCTCGTGTTACTTCTATTGATGGCTTTCGTTACTATGTTATTTTTGTGGGTCATTATACCAAATATATTTGGTTTTACCCTATGGCTAAAAAATGTGAGGTCACTCCACTCTTTACACAGTTTAAAAAGATTGTTGAAAACTTTTTTCAACGCACAATTAAAACAGTTTATTCTGATGGGGGCGGCGAATACATAACCTTAGCAAAATTCCTAAGCACATGTGGCATTTGTCATTTATTTACCCCCCTACACTCCAGAACATAATGGCTTTGCTGAACGTCGGTATCGTCACATTGTGGAAACGGGTATCACCCTACTTTACCATGCGTCCATTCCTCTTAAATATTGGTCCTATGCCTTTCTTACAGCTGTTTATCTTATCAATAGACAACCTGCTCTCTCTCTTAACTTCTGCACTCCATATGAAAAACTCTTCCAACAACCTCCTAATTATACTAAACTTGCTGTTTTTGGGTGCCAGTGTTTCCATTGGTTATGTCCTTATACCTCTCATAAATGTGAACCACGCTCTAAATCGTGCGTTTTCTTAGGGTATTGTGACCAACAAAGTGCCTATCGTTGTCTTGATCTCACTAGTAACCGGATCTTCATCAGCAGATATGTTGTGTTTAACGAGACAGTCTTACCCTTTTCTACATCCCCACCACCAGTCTCAAATCTCACTTCTGTTGTTGATCATTGGCTTCAACCTTCCATGTCTTATCTTCCCATTTCAGGTACTCTGGTCACGGGGGCGTCTTCTCCCACTCATACCTCGACTCAACCATTAACTCCCGGTAAGTCACATAGTACCTCCTCCCAAAGTGATATCCAAACTTCTCCCCTTCCTAAAGCCACACTGCCACAGATCATTACTTACCACCGCCGACGCAAATCCAATCCTCCTATAACCACCCCTCATCCACCCACCACCACTGAGCTCACTACCTCAACCCCACACCTTGATAATTCCCCACCCAAACGTACCCATCCAATGACCCTATGACCCCGTAAACAAGCCAATATTGCTACTAATACCTCTATACCTCACCATATAATTCCCACTTGTGTTTCTCAAGCTATGCAGGTACCAGAATGGCGGAGTGCTATGTCAGTAGAATTTGATGCCTTGGTTCGACAGGGTACTTGGGATCTTGTTGCGCCTCAGCCTGGCCAGAATATTTTAGGTTGTAAATGGGTCTATACAGTGAAGTATAAGCCGGATGGTTCATTGGATCGTTATAAGGCTCGGTTAGTAGCTAAGGGCTTTCATCAGCGCCCTGGGATTGATTATTCTAATACTTTTAGTCCGGTCATAAAACCGGTCACTACTCGCATCGTCTTGACTATTGCTCTCTCTCATGGTTGGCCGGTACACCAGTTAGATGTCAACAATGCCTTCCTCCATGGTACTCTTTAGGAGGAAGTTTACATGAAGCAACCACCTGGTTTTAATGATGGTTCTTGATTTGTGTGTCGTCTTCGGAAATCCATTTATGGTTTTAAGCAAGCGCCTTGGGTATGGTATCAGGCTCTTAGTGGATTCTTTCTCTCATTTGGATTTCATCAGTCTGTCACTGATGCTAATCTATTCATATTTTCCTCCCATCCATCTTGTAACACTGCCCCCAAGCAATTTTACCTTATCAAATTATGTATCGAACCCTGAGAAAGGAATAAAAGCATTTTTACAAAATTGTAAATTTTTATCATTTCTTTTATGTGAATAGTAAAATTCACGTGGGGCCCACATCGGTCGTGGGGCCGCCCGATATTATCGGGACCACATATTATATTAATCTTGGACTAGATAATATGTATATGGTGGTGGATATCCTAATTGGGCCATGGCAATGGCATAGGATTGACCGGTTGGTCAAACGGGGCCAAATTATCAGTATCGACAATTTATCATATAACAACCCAAAAAGGGATTTCGGAGACTTCTAAATTAAAGTTGGGGAATGCATATTTATTCTAAGGTCCAATAAGGATTGGGAACAAATTTTATATTTTATTTGACCCGATAAAATAAAATATAGTTAAAACAGTCCGGAAAATACAACTTTCAAGGCCGATTGTACACTTGGGGACATAAAGGGATGACCTCCCACATGAGTGGGGGCCACCCCCACGAATTTGGTGCTGCAAAAGACAAAGGGGAGCCGCACAATGACCTGGATAAGCTAGGAGAAATTTATTGGAGGCCAATCAATAGGAATGTGGACCTCACCCTTGACATTATTTTGGAGAAATGCCAAAAAGGCATTCTCAATCATCAACATAACCCTCCAGCTCGGCCAACCCATCCATTTTAGAGATAGAAGCTCTGAAAACACTTCACAACATCTACCATTCACGCACTTGAGCTAAGGAGGAAGAAGGAGGGGAAAAGAGAAGAGAAAAGTTGACTTTGGAGAGGAAAACTTGTGTTTAACAAGGTAATTACTCCATTAATCCCATTTCTTGTTCTTCAATCCTCTTATATGATTATTCAATCATATTTCACACCCTTTTATTGTTCTAAACGTTTGGATGTGTAGAAAGAGGGGTTGGAAGGTAGTTCTAAGTCCAAGAACGGGCTGAGAAGCCAAAGTGACCGGTTCGCCGCAAAATAACCTTTTTGAGGTTATTTGTATTACTATGGGTTTATGATGATAAAACCTTGTTAGTAACTTGTCTATGGTATTCAAGGAACTTTCACGGAGTTGAAAGGGTCGCCGGAGTTGTCGCCGGAGTTCGTTGAAGTTCGCCGAAGTTTCGTCGGGCCTAAATCGGGAGGGCTAGAACTTCATAAGCTCCATTAAGGTGAGAAGACGACTTTATGCTTTATAACTTTTGCATGAGGCATGAGATTTCCTAAATTAATCAAAAATATGTTTTATGGAATGATTAAGGATAATCAAGTATTTGCTTATGCCATGATTTTATTTAAAACATAGTTGAAAAGCATGTTATTTACGTTTGATGATTAAAAATGTGATAAATTATTATGTGCGATGTTCCAGGGATCCAAAATAGTATTTTTGGATTGAGTACGTCTAGAAGTACTTGTGTGTAAAATTTCACGTTAATTGGATTCCGTTTGGGTGGTCAAACGGGCGTTGACCGCCAAGTTAACTGCCATACCCGACCGGGTATTGACACGTATCCGACCGGGTATTTGCTGAAGAATTGCCCCAGGGGGCTACTGCCTCCTATACCCGATCGAGTATGGGTAGATACTCGATCGAGTATACATTGAAAATTAGCTGTGTGGGCTACTGTCTCCTGTACTCGACCGAGTATAGGTGAGTACTCGATCGAGTATTGGTTTATGCTCAAAACGGGCAGTTTTGAGTAGGTTAACGTGGGCCGTTCAGGTGGGACCTGCCCACGTTGGTTCCTAAGGATTGTTATATGACTATAGGGCTAGGCATTGTCCATAGTTAAAGGAATGAAAGGTTAGCCATATCCAGGTTAGGATTTGGTAGAGGATAGACGGGGGATTGAGTACCCTTGGACGATAAATGATCCAGAATACTCCAGGCTGGGTCGAGTACCCTTGGACGGTAAATGATCCAGAATACTCCAGGTGGGGTCGAGTACCCTTGGACGGTAAATGATCCAGAATACTCCAGGTGGGGTCGAGTACCCTTGGACGGTAAATGATCCAGAATACTCTAGGTGGGGCCGAGTACCCTTGGACGGTAAATGATCCTAAATACTCCAGGTTGGGTTGAGTGCCTTGGACGGTAAATGATCCTAAAACACTCGGTAGTATGAATCGAAGGTAGACTATAGCTTGTGAGCTAGGCAACCGGGAAAGGAGTGAGAAAAGTCAGGTAAGAACTTTATCTCTAAAAGACTCTTTAAGGTAAATGACCTACGGGTTGAGTATTTTACGAGTATATATACAGTATGTATCATCGGGTGGATGAGAGACATCTATATATATGTATCACCCTATTGTTGGGTCTCGTGTCTGAAACATTAGTTATTTTTCATATAGCCTGCTTGTCACTAGTACTTCTATGGAGTACTGACCCATCTGGGGGGCCTCACATTTTTCAGGTTAAGGCTAGAGTCCTACTACCTGCACCTTTTCCTAGGGTGATCATTCAAGGAGGAAGACGTGGTTCGTGCTTCCATTCGTATTTGAAATTTATAAACTGCTCATGGATATTTGAATAATGTTTTCCTTAAAACGGTTGGGGGCCTGCGTGCCCGTGTTTGCCATGTGTGGCTAAGTATCAAACATATTATTATTTCCGCATTTGTTTGATTATGATATTGATGTTGATTATATGTGTTTACTAATCGGTTTGGCAATAGAATCAATCGGACGCCTTGTACAATTCAATAGGGATGAACTGTTGTTGTTCTTATCGGGTTGTACGGCGGTTGTCTACGTGGCTCGGATGCAGTCCGGGGCGTGACACATCTTATATCTATGTGTTGGTCTATGTGGATGACATCATTGTTACTGGTTCTACACCAGATTTGTTACGCTAGACTATTGACTCATTGGCCCACCAGTTCTCTATCAAGGATTTAGGAGCCTTACACTACTTCTTGGGCATGCAGGTTACTCCTACACATGGTGGACTCTTTCTTGATCAACATAAATACATTAAGGACTTATTAAAAGTTTTAAAAATGGATGAGGCTAATCCTGTGGCCACACCGTTAGCTTCTTCTGCCTCCTTAACTCTATTTGACAGTTCAGGCTCTTTTGATGCCACTCTCTATTGACAGGTCCTCGGGTCTCTTCAATATTTGAATCTCACTCGCCCAGGTGCTGCCTTTGCTATTAACAAATTGGCTCAATTTATGCATAAACCTACGGTTAATGTAACACCTCGGCCCCGTAGGCCCCGAGGTAGTTACTTCGGTCCTCTAGTACTGTCCTCACAAACTGCCACTAGCATTTTCCGCGCACTTTGTCTTCACTCGTGCGCGCCCTGAGAAACTTCCCAGGGGGTCACCCATCCCAAGACTACTCCCGTGCAAGCACGCTTAACTTTGGAGTTCTTGGCTAATGAGCTCCCTTAAAAGGAGATGCACCTTGTTGGTATGAGTACTACTATTAATCCCTTTAAATTAAATCTCAAGTGTTACAGTTAATCACTGGCCTCTTCTCAAACGTCTTTTGCGCTATTTGCAAGGCACTGCTTCTCATGGCCTCTATCTTTGTTGCAGCACCCCCTACTCTCCGTGCCTTTGTTGATGCTGATTGGGCGGGGAATCCTAATGACCGTTCATCTACCAGTGCCAATGCCATCTTTCTCGGGGAGTCTCTTATATCTTGGAGATTAGTGAAGCAGCGCACTATTGCTAAGTTCTCCACGGAAGCAGAATATCGAGGTCTTTCCACCGCTGCCTCTGAAACTATTTGGATCGAATCTCTATTACGTGAGTTGCGGTACCCACTTCTTTCTCCTCCACTCCTCCTGTGTGACAACAAGGGTGCTACTACATCTTCAGTCAATCTTGTCTTCCACTCCCGCATGAAACATGTAGCTATTGATTTTCATTTTGTTCGACAACGGGTTCAACGTGGCCTTCTTGAAGTGCATCATATCCCATCTTCTGCTCAGATAGCTGACTCCCTCACCAAACCACTTCCCCGACATAGCTTTATCCTTCTTCGAGACAAGCTCAGGATTCTTGGAAGTGATAGAATGCCTGGCTTGCGGGGGTGTATAGAAGGAAATAAATAATTGACATTTAAGGCATAATATTTCATTTAGCCGTTACATATCTTTATCTTTAATATTGTATTATTACCTACCTTATAGACTTGATTAGTGATTGTATAAATACTACCTATTGTAAACCCTTTTGATCATCATTGAATATACAAAAATCTTTCGCTCCTCTCTTCTCTATTAGAGATCACATACAAATCATGCTTAACTTACTAACCTACAAACTCAATAATATGCAACACTTTGAACTTCAATATGCAATACAAATAATGTAAAGATGCACTCTTTGAATTTCAATATGCAATACAAATAATGTAAATATGAAACTGTTATTTTAGGTCTTTAATAATATGAAACACTTTGAACTTCAATGTGCAATACAAATAATGTAAAGATGATTTGAATGGGAGGACTAGTTTGTATGTGATCTCACCCCTATTTGAAACTGTTATTGAAATGTGAAGAATAAAAGACTGAAGATGTAGTAGCACCTGCATCGTAGTTTTTGAATGGGAGCTACTACAACTTTGAAACAAGGGTGTATGATTTGAATGGGAGGACTAGTCTCTTATATCTCAAACTGTTATTGAAATGTGAAGAATAAAAGACACAAAATTGCAACTGCATCGTAGTTTTTATTTTGCACATTTCAGTTTCACCTAATGCATATTTCTGTTTCCCCTAATGCACAATTCAACTTCACATAATACCACTATGCCTTACCTTTTGTGCTGCACATCTCGATCGATTTCACCTAATGCACATTTCAGTTTCACTTAATGCACATTCAATTTCCAGAATACAACCTAATGGTCCAGATTCATTTTCATTTCTCTTCTAAGATCATTTACATTATTTTTACTGCATATTGAAGTTCAAAGTGATGCATATTATTGAGTTTGTGGGTTAGTATTTTAAGCATGGTTTGTATTTGATCTCTTATATATATATATATATTTAGGTTCATGTGAGAATATAATCTTAGGAGAGAAAAAAAGAATGAATGAGAGCCCTTAGATTTAACTAGCATTTAAATCATTAAAATAGTTCGTATAAGGCTACACAAGTCATTTTGACTACTTTCCTTCCTAGAATTGTTGTGGCATTTATGAGACTTCCCTATCGTATTTATTATTTAAGCTAAGGAATTATTTCCATAACTATTACTACGTATTATATTATTTATTCTCATCAAACATTTGTTTGACCCGGTCAAAATGAATTCTAATTTTATCTTTAGTTCATTCTTAACTTTTTTATTGTTTTACGTACAATATCTTATGTTTTATTTTTGTCATGATATTTTGCTTTTGTTTTTTTACATATATCTTCTATTTGATTTTTTTATTTCACGTTCTATTATTTTGATTAATCTGATCTATAACAAAGATGCATGCCACATTTATATGAATTTATTTCATATTTATTGAAAAGTGCACGACAACTAATACGTAAGTGCACAACATAATTTAGATTACTTTGATGCACTTACCATATCTTATTCATGCAGTTTTCATTATTTTTAGTTTACTTTTTGGGCAGATACAAGTAACTCTAAAGATTGATGTCAAAATTAAATTATTGTCACGCTTCTAAAGAAAAGTGCATCAATTTGTAAAACATGTCAATCGTTTCAATTGTGTGATATAATAGTGCACTTTTTCATATATTTAAAACATACAGAGTACACAATAAAAATACATTTGACATTCTAAGAAAGTACCAACCTAGAATTTTACAAAGTACTCTGTATGTTATAATAGTGCACTTTCGTTTATATTTTGAAATGCACATAATATCGATTTGTTTACACCCACTTATGTTTATTTTCATTTGTATTTAAAAATATATAGAAGTGCACAACTACAAAAACTAAAGTGCAAATTAATGATTAAAGTGTAAAGGTTAATATAATAAAAATACTATTGCACTTAAAATATATATATCAGGTGCATGTTTATAATATTTAATGTTTTAAATGCATTGTGCACTTTTTCTATAATTCTTATGCACAATATAAGATTCCTATCGACTTTTTAAAAGGTACGTACATATGCATGTGTTGTGCTCATGATTAATATATTCATAATTGGAAATAATTGATATGCGAAAGTTTAGGATATTACTACGCTACTCTTAATTAGGCCTCTTATCCGTAAGCTATTTTTACATTTTTGTCCTTTCTTTTACGAATTTGTAACGTTGCATTTAGTTAGATATCAATGTTCCACATAATTACTTATTATGCCACCGTTACTTTTGCAATAACTGTCGTTAGATCAAAATTGTTAATGATCTAGATGTGTTCTTATTTCTCTCCTAAGTCTTCATTCTCACCGGAACCCTCCCCTATATATATATATAACATTCACTTCGTATATATATGGGAGTGGTTCCAATGAGAAAGGGCTCCCAAGAGAGAAATGAGAATGAATCTGGACTGTTGGATTGTATTATGTGAAATTGAATTGTGCATTTGGTAAAGCCAAAATGTGCATTAAGTGAAATTGAAATGTGCAAAATGAAAAGTAAAACTCAAATGTGCATTACGAGAAATTGAAATGTGAAGAATAAAAGACACAAAATTGCAACTGCATCGTAGTTTTTATTCTGCACATTTCAGTTTCACCTAATGCATATTTCTGTTTCCCCTAATGCACAATTCAACTTCACATAATACCACTATGCCTTACCTTTTGTGCTGCACATCTCGATCGATTTCACCTAATGCACATTTCAGTTTCACTTAATGCACATTCAATTTCCAGAATACAACCTAATGGTCTAGATTCATTTTCATTTCTCTTCTAAGATCATTTTCTCACTTGAACCTAATTCTTAGTGTGTTTGTGTGTATCTCTTTTGTGTATATATAAATAAATATATATGTATAATTGTTTATATACGGAGTATTATATAAGTAATTTGAAATACATTGTAGAACTAGGATGTAACAACAAATAAAATGTTAAGAAGTAGCTAAAATGCAAGTAGTATTAAATAAAGTGTTGAACTATTAAAATTTAACAACACCAATTTCTATACAATTAAAATGTGACTAACTACTAGCTAGAATTTGTAATATTAACAACTACAAACTCTCTAGGGTTGCCGTCTCAGGCAACGCCTAGCTTGTTTTGTCCGGCGGTGTTCGCTCAGGCGAGTACGGTGCCGAGAAGATTGTTATTATTGGAAGAAGGAGGGGATCAAAAGGAGGATTTTGGTAAGGTTCTCGCAAAAGGTTAAAGCAACAGGTTTATATGGACAGCTTCGTGAAAAAATACAAGAAGATGACGATTGGGGCAGAGGAAGAAGAACTAGATCTAGATGAAGCTGATGTTGAGATTGTGGCGGATAAGCGGCGAGCGCGTCCCCCTCCTGAGCCGCCGCCATGGAGAGCAAGTAAATCTAGGGTTTGGAAGAAGTCTTATCTTATTTGTTTTGTTTATTTTTCTAGTAATTTTTATGCCTGTTTGGTTATTTGTTTTTTTCTTTATTATTCCAGTTTGTATGACGTTGATTTTGGATGTGGGTGACAACGGAATTGGGGTAAACGTTTTTGGCTCATTTGTGCCCATTAATGGATCAGCGAGTTATACTGCTTTGAATGAGGTGATTAACTCTGAGTCTGGTTCGCGGGACAGTGGTTGTCAAGATTCTCTTTGTCGGATTACCCATTATCTGAATGTTGGGATTTCAATTTAAGCCAAATTCTTCCAAAAAAAAACTACAATTTAAAATGTGACTACTACTATTAAAATGTTAGTAAATACTAACTACAATTAGTTAAATATTTAAATGCAACTACTACCAAAAAATATAACAACAATGAAAATGTGACTAACTATATCGTGTCTGTGTGTATTAAAATATATATAGTTCGACTATATATATATATTGTATATATTTAATATACTTCATATATATATAATAAATTATATATATATATGTATATATATTAAATAATATATATTATTTATATCTTTGTGTATATATAAATAAATATAAATGTATAATTGTATATATATTATATTAGTAATATGAAATAAATTATACAAGTAGGATGTAACAACAAATAAAATGTTAAGAAGTAGTTATTAATGTATATAGTTTGTGTGTGTGTGTGTGTGTGTATATATATATATATATATATATATATATATATAATATTTCGTATATATGTTAATTATAAATATATATTAAATTATATATATTACTTTTATATTTCTTGTATATATATATATATATTAGTGTATAACAATTACTTAATTATACAAAAAGTAGGAAGTAATTAACAAAAATGTAGGAAGCATGAACTAGTTAACTACAACAATGTAGGAACTAGTTGACTACAAATGTATATAATTAAATGTATATGTTGAATATGAAAGTGTAGGAGTATGTAAATATAATTGTAATATAACACGGAGTATATTTAATTTGAAAGAATGAAAGAGTAGGAGTGGGAATGTAGAAATAGAAATTGTAAATATTTATATAGTGTAGTAATTAATAAGTATATAATTATAATTATAATATGAATATATAAAGATGAAAGTGTAAATGTGAATAGGGTAGAATTAGTGATTCAGAATTTGAGATTATAGAATTTGAGTAAAAGTAGAATAGTGTGAAAAAATAAATAAAATGAGTAGGTATATATAGTAATTTTTTTTTATAACCCCCACCCCCAAACCCCTCCCCAACAGCCATATAGCAGTTACTAGACGTTCGAACAACTCGTTTGACCCCAGCCCCAGCCCTTAATTTTTTTTTGATCATCAGCCCCAGCCCTTAATTAAAATTCAAAATAAAAAGAGAGAAATTGTCTAATATGGGAGTAAAACAAGGCCCTTTTGCACATATAGGAGCTTGTTATGTAGTTATGAATGTCCATTAACCTCCGGTCCATGTGTACTAGCCCATCTCATTGACGTAACCCTAGCTCCCCTCTTGTATATATAGATACTAATATGTGAATGAAAGCAACCTTTTTTATCTGGTTCATAACGCGTTATCAGCACGATATGCTTGAACCCTAAT